ACGTAACTTTTCTACAGCGGGAGGGGGATATTTTGAGGATTTATCCTCTCTATACGTGTTTTAAAATGGTAGAATTTCTTCATTTATATTTTAACTTCTCCTGCTCAGTTGTCTCTGCACTTGCAGCCCTGTTGACACAAGTGCGATGACGTAATGACGATATGATGGTAGAGCGTAAATTTCTAACGTAGGCCAACTTCATACTGTTTCTACTGTCTACCGCATATACCGTGCAGCCCTAATGAGAATATAACATTATAACATGATATAAAACTCAAGACTAGTAGCTTAATAAGACAAATTATTTTTCCTTCTGTACTCTCAGGGAAGGCCAACCAGCACCAACCCCATCGCTAGTATTTTTGCCTGGACCAGAGGCCTGGAGCATCGAGGCAAACTCGACGGCAACCCTGAGCTTATAAAGTAAGATGTGCAGCAGTGTTTCTCAAAACACATCACCCATAACTTAAAACAAGTTACAAAAAAATGTATTTAATTTTGCAGGTTCTCACAGACTCTAGAGAGGGTGTGTGTCGAAACGGTTGAGAGCGGCGTCATGACAAAGGACCTCGCTGGCTGCATCCACGGCTTGTCCAAGTAAGTTCATTTTAAACCAAAGTTTAAAAATATATATATAGATACATTTGTGTCGCTGGCAGAATATTTGTTGAGTCACATGATCGGTGAAATACATCCAGCTTATTCAGTAGTGGATTGTGATGAAACAAAAACATCTTGGATCAGTTTGACACAATAACTTCATGAATGACGCAYTGCTTTAAAGCACTTCACACTGTCAGAGTGACATCTGCTGGCTTTATATGAGAACTGCACCCAAGTGGAAGACCATTACTGCCTGCTATACGAAGTTTTGTGCTCCTGTTAAACTAATTTAGTGACTAAAGTAAACATAGAAAATTAAAACTCTGTGAACTGTTTAATACAGAAATATTATGTAAGATAGGATATATGTGGTCCTGCAACTTTTTTATTGTGATAATATAAACGAGTGTGCTAGTACACCAGGAATAATAATTTCAGCAGTGCTTCAGGCCATCTTCAGCTTCACGTGCTCARAGCTGTGTTGACCATAATGTCAGCAGTAGTGAATAAACCCTGCTGTCCCATTTTTAGCTGACATTGAGAAAGCATGAAATGATCAACGTTATTGTCTGAGTTAGTRTAAGGTTACAGGCTTCTGGGTGTATGAGGAAAAGCTTGACCTTCTAAATGAATAGGGACTGGGAAGTTGTTCCGTGTTCATGCAACATAATTCCTGAAGTAGTATAGTTGTTAATACAAGCCTCTTTTTCTCTTTGGGGGCCTTGTTTCAAAAATCCTAGTTGCTGTGCAGGAAGAAATGAAAACATGCTTTAAAGAAGAGAGCTTTAATTATTAGGTTATTGTTCAGAACTTTTTGAGTTATTCTAGTTTTGTGATATTTTTGAGCTTTTTGAGTAACTCATGTAGCCTTTTTGTGAAACTGCACACTTTTTTCCCTTTAAACCTGTGACTCTGATTTTCTTGTTGATAAGCCAGAAATAAATTTCTCCTAGTGACTCTTCTGTGCCTGATTGTTTAAAAACAGCAGCTCAGAGAAACTTCTGGCTGTTGTTTGTTGGCACGATGTTTGAGGAGTCTGTGTTGGATTTCTTTTGAATTTTTCATTATCTGTTTTTTTTTTGATTGGTGAAATCAAACAATAGGTTTTATCAGAGTGACAGCTTCATCCTGAGTAATGAGAGCGCTGCTTCATTGGCTCGTGGTGAAGAAAGAGTTGAGAGAAAAAGCTTTCAATTTGCTGTTTCATCGGTGTTYCAGCCTCACCTGTGGTCATGAAGTACGGCTGAAAGAACGGGTTCTGTGTTACACCAGGCTAAAATGAGCTTCTTTCRTAGAGTCTGCAGACTCAGCCTTAGGGGACTACTTCTCCGTCACAACAAAAGAAGTGAGTTGAGGTGGTTCAGGCTTCCTGGACTCCTCCCTTTAGGGTTTTTTGTGCATGTCCCACTGAGGCTAAACTTCACGGCAGACCCAGAACTCACTGGAGGARTTGTATCTTCTCCGGGCTGGGTGCTGGAGAGGGATGTCTGGGTTTCTCTCCTGGACCGGTTGCCTTTGTGACTCTATGGATAAGTGATTGGAGATTTAGAATATAACCAGTTTTGATCAGGGATGCTCAAACTCATGCAGGTGTGTGGAGAAAAAAAAGCGAAGAATAACTCAAACTGTTGTCTAGTTGAACATTTAAAGGAGAAGATTCAAAATAAGGTGCAGAGCTGAGTCACACAAAATGTGTACTTAAATGACAGCAACCACCAAAAATAGTGTTTTTAACCTTTTTTCTTTTTTTATTTTCTTTTMTTTTCTTCTTTTCCACTTGCAAACATTTTATAATAAACCATTAATTTAAAAACAGAATTCAGAGAATAATTAATCATATAAGCCCACATTAGACCCAGTCCTGGTTTGAAAAATGTATCCATTTATTTCTTGGAGCATCTTTATGTTTTGGGACATTAAGTCTATAATGACACAAAAAAAGATGAGGTTTAGTTTTATCACTGAAAGATTTTCACTTTTATCTTTCTACCAGCTCGATTCCTTTTTACTGACGAGTGGTACTGAAGGTATTATTTGTTTTGGCTGGTCAACTTGTGATAAAGTTTAGAAACTAACTTTGCTGGCAACCATTAAATCCCTAATGGGGTCATGTTAAAGTTTTTTTAACTACACAAAAAAGAAAATAGTGTTTTTGTCTCTATGTTTCTCACAGGTTGTCCTTAAAATATAACATAAACTTAGCACAAAATGAGAAGAAATTTGTGTTTGTTGGATTAGTTCTTTATTGTAACAAAGCTTTTTGATAATATATATTTTATCATTGGAAAACCTGTTAAATTCTATTTTAAATAATGCCATATTTGTAAGGAAAATGGATTTGTGGGATGAGCAGTGGAGCTGTGGGTTGCACACATGAAAAATACGACAAATCTTCTCTCTCATTGTCAAACAGTTTATTTTTCTGTTTGTGACTCTTGTTTTGAGCTTCTAGGACCTTCAGGTGCTGTCAGTCAGGTGCCTGCTATAAGATTTATTACCAACAAGCAAAGAAATCTTTCTGTCAAACACAAATTTCCTTACTTTTTGTGCTTATTAGTTTATTTTAATAAAACCAGATAGAAATATCTACATTTCTGAGTTTGGAGCATTTCTGAATGAAATATCTAACAGGTATTAATTATCATTGAAAACATTTTTCTGATTTCTTGTAAATTTTTGTGGTTAAAAAAAGACTGGAAGAATATTAGTTTATATACAGGTAAGATTTATTATTTTATGATCCATTCATGTCTCATAAAACCTTGAATGTGAGTTTGTGTTTTTTTTTGTTTTTTTTTGTTGTTTATTCAGCTGTTTGGTTTTGGTACCACGTTATATTTGCTCTGACGTTTTTAATTTGAGCAATCTGGATTACAAACCTGCAAGCTCAATCTAAATATAGTCTGGGGATGTTTTTTTTTAACCAATAAGTCTTTTTTTAATACCGTATATAAGGCTGTGCCTTTTAGCTCTTGAATTTAAGATGTAACTTGTAACGTGGTGTTATTGACCACAGCTGGAGTTAAAGCAGAGTGCAGAAACTTTCACCTTGTGCATTATTAAATCCTCTGATCTGCTGTCTTGTCTCACATTTTCAGTGTGAAGCTGAACGAGCACTACGTGAACACCACAGACTTCCTCGAYGCCATCAAGTCAAATCTGGATAAAGCCCTCGGCAAGTGAAGGACTTGAAACAACAGTGAGACGGCTTTGGCACTCGTTTTTTTTTTTTTTTGTACCTCATTTTTAACTTAAAGGTCAACAAATTCACTTTCATTTCACCAAAAGGAGAATGCTGTTTGTAGGATTATCTAATGTTTTTCTTAGGATATCAAATGGTCATCTTTCCACCTGATGCCCCTTAATCTACCTGTCCCATTATGTGCAAGGTTGTATTTTTGTAAAGTGTACTATAATCAGTGCTGTAATACCTTGAGCAACGACTATGTCAAACAAATAAATYGCGTTTGACCTAATAAATTAAATTTAATAAATTAAATTTCATTGTGTCAGTGGGTTTTTTTTTTGGATAAATATTAACAGTCAACTGATTAAAGGTAAATAAATTTATTTTTGGACAGTATCGTGTGGTACACAACATAATACATACAATTCTGTTCATATCTTCACACGTAAGTCTAATACAGATGCCTCTCCTTGTCACTAAAATAGTGACAGTGTGAAAACACAGRAGCTGGAAAAAAAACTCACAAAACTGAGCACTTATTTTTAATCTTACGCACTATATCAACATTGCAAATGGATACCTTGTTTTCAAGTTTGAAAAAAAAAAAACTAAGCAGTGGAAAACTGAATATATTGAGCATTTCCAAATCATTTTCCGCAGGGTCCATGGCCCTGTCACATGTTGGGAGGTTGTCGTTCATCACTTGAGACCGGAGTACAGCGTGATGGATAGCATGCTCTCGCAGACACACTGGGGCACTTAATATTTCTGTCCGAGTTTTTTGGGACAATTCTTGGTGAGATTCATCCATAACAACAACAACAAAAAAAAGAAAAGCAGTATGAATGCAGGGTTTGCCTTCTTATTGAAAATGCTGCAGCGGAGACTTGGATGAAAAAAATAAAACAAGTACGCTGCACCACTGTGGTAATCTTGAAAAGATCTACAGGAAGGATAAAGGTAAACCTGAATGTGATTTCATGAGGTCTAATAAATTCAGTGTACCAACACAACAGCGAGGAAATGAGACTGATGGCGCGCCCGCGTAGCTGCAGGATTTGATCAACTTCTTTGGTAAAACCATTGCAAAGAGGGAATTAAAATGTTTCTCGTCGTCAGTGTCTGAAAACATTCCACAGAAACGGTTACATTCATAGACTGGAAATCAATACGGGGTGAGGTTTGTTAATGCAGAATGGTAAGAAGTAGACACAGTGGTCCTTTTAGTGCAACGCACTGATTACAGTACCAGTCAATATACAGGAGGACTGATGCGTTCTGTACAGTCATTTACAGGTTGAAAGCTAAAATTGAATTTAAGTCATTTTGCAGAGCTTAAATTTTCACAGTATAAATCAAAGTGAACCATTAACCTTTTGGTAGGYTGGAGCAGGTGAAAGAACACTTGTTCCCTCACCTTTTACATCGACAAACCCAGCAGACTGAGAAAAAAACTGGAATTACTTGAATAAGTTCAGAGTGACATGCAGATCTTGCTCAAAATGTGCTTTCGTTTTAGGCCTTAGATGAAAATCTTGAAAAGAAAGTTCAGATCTTTTGATGTCGGGTTCTGTTGAAACATCATTGTACATGTCTTTTAATGGCCTCAGTCAAAATTCTACGTAAATAGCCATATAATGTAAAACTGTTTATGAAGTTTGTCAACTAACTTTCATGTAAAATACTAAAAATAATTGAAGCTGGAGTTGGTTGTCATTAGCTCATCTATCCAGTCAAACTAACTGTATTTCTCCAAACTTAGGTCGCTCAAAGAGATCTACTAGGGCTGGGCAGTAAATCCATAAAACAATATAATGACAGACAAGTGATTTATATCAAAAGAAAACCTGTACAATAGAATGATGRTAATTTCACTGAACTGTGATCCATAACTGCACAGCATTCTGGGGGATGTAGGCAGAGAAAAGGCTTTAGCCTCTTACTGCCCAGCTAAGAAAGGTTGGTGGCATCAACCAACTCCCACTTTTTGGTAGCTAGCAACAACCTTTTGAGTAACATGGAGCAGCAGTTTCATGTTTTACCACCATGCCTCATAACTGCTTAAATAAAAAAAAGGAAATACAGTACATGAAGTGAAAGGAGAAAWTGATGCAACAGCTTGAACGGAAATTGTGGCTAAAACACATCACCAGTTTGGCAGCTTAAAATCAGCCTTCTTTCTCCTGGTTCTCATTTCAAATGGATAAAACAAAAAATGAATCAATAATTATTGATCTTTGAGCCGTATTGCCCTGCCCTACCACCAACAACAGGTAACATATTCTTTAAGCCTTTTCAACAAAACCCCACCACAAAAGTAGTGAACTACACCTTTTAAGCAACTGAAATGGTGTTGTTCTTACTAAAAACTTGTATCTTATAATGCCGATCTTTAAAATAAAATCAGTAAATTTGCCTTGCTTTAAATAAAAACATGATTAGATTAAAAAAAAGTATCCATGATTCACATTTCGAAGCCTTACGCGTGATTCCAGTGCATATCAATGTGCAGTTTTAATGGATCTCCTCACATCTGTTAGCAAGGGATCCAAGCTCTACGCCTTTAACAGCAACAAAACTAAAACCGTAGTTTTGATTTTTATACTTGTGTTCGTTTGAACTCTTATGCCGTGCTAAAGCGCCCAGTGTTCTTCCCGTAGGTGTTGTAGTACTCCATTTGAGAGAGTTTGGCTACATCTGGCGTGTTGTTGTTGTTAGCCCGGTTTTCTCGCTCGCTGAATTCAAAACTCTCCTCTTCGTAGTCCTCCTGCCCTTCTGTCTCTTGGGGGGGTTCTGACAAAGGAAGGGAAGATACAAAGATGATCCCATGCTGGCCTCAATAACACACTCACTCACACACAGACATAGACAGCTCTCCTCCTAAAGACATATGGCCACATTAAGGACAGCCAGTAGGTTGCCCTCCCGCCTTGTATCAGCCTCCGCTGTTAGAGACAGGCATGTCTAATCCGGGCCCTGCTATATTTACTAAACACACGGGAAGAGACTGACAGAAACATCAAAATAGTTGGCCACTGGATTTACAGTACACGCTGAGTCAAAGTGCATTAGGGACATTCTGACTGACAATTATGTGACACGAGGCCCTCAGAGCAGCCACCACCCCYGCACAAGTTGGAAATGTGCCGCAGATAACCCGTTGACAGATTTAACCTCCATCTGTGTCGAAGCTGTCTAATCAGGACAAGGGATGAAGTTACTCACCGTGTCCATCTATTGTGGTGTCCATGATGCCGTGTTTGACCTTCATGTGCCTGCTCAGGTTGCCCTTCAGGTTGAACTTGCTGGTGCAGTAAGGACACTTGAAGGGCTTGCTGCCAGCGTGGAGGTGCATATGGCCGAGGAGGTTGTACATTCTGTTGAACGACTTCCCGCACACCTGAGAGAGGAGGGGGAAACCATCGCTGTAATTAAGTAKATCACAGAAACCCACGCTCCTCCTTCGCCCACAACCCACCTTGCATTTGAACGGCTTGACGGGAAGGTGGACAATCATGTGCGTTTTGAGGGTCTGCTTCTGGACGAAGGTCTTGAAGCAGATGTGGCACTGGAAGGGCCGGACGCTGGCGTGGATCAACATGTGTCTCTTCAGGTTGGCGGACAGGGTGAACTCTCTGGCGCAGACATCACACTTGAATTCTTTCATACCCTGAAGGGAAACGAACGTGGTTGAAAAGTGTTTGAGAAGAAACAGGAATCAGAAAAAGGTGGCATGTGTTTGAGTGTTTGCACTCTGGCATTAATTTGTGTTTGACCACTGAAGAAGACCTAGTTCAATGGACACAATGAACTCTTATATAAGTTTTCAATCTATTCCTATTTTTATATTCACCAGTGTGTTGTGAATAAAAGCATTTTGTTCTATAGAATAACAAAAAGTATGCGATGAGAGAGATGATTCATCAAACATGAAGGGAAGAGTCTTTGCAGACAAAACAAAACACGTGAGCTGGGGGTGGGGTTGAGCCACATAAAAACTCAAGGCCTTTGAAGACTATGTTTACAAAGCAACTGGTTTTAGAGAAAAGACTGTGATGCAAGAGCGCCATTTACCCCAGTTCTTCCTTGTAGATTCTTACAGCAGACACTAATATGCCCCTTTTATTCTAAATCCCTTGGACGTTTGTGTGTTGAATGTTTTCAAGAGTTTAGTGATGTACAGCAGCAGAAACGACATGTCTAGTTTTCAGTATCTTTGGTGCAAGGGAGCGAGCCATTAGTACCTTGTGAGTGAGGGCGTGCTGACGAAGGTGGTGGATCTGGACAAACTCCATCCCGCACTCCGGACAAACATACGGCCGCACGTTCTGGTGCTTCATCAAGTGGTTCTGCAGCTGGCTCCGGTAGGCGAAGGACTTGTTGCACTCGGTACACTGGTATGTGGTGGGGCCCTGATGGCTGGTGAGGTGGCGCTTCAGGTGGGCGTAGGTTGGGAACTCGAGGCCGCACTGGGTGCAGACATGGCACTGGCCGTTCTCGTGCTTGTTCTCGTGGGTCCTCAGCTCGCTGGGGTAGGCGAAGCCTCGGCCACAGAAGCGACAGCTGTAGGGCTTAACGTCCGTGTGCTGCAGCATGTGCCTCTTCAGGTGGCTGGTCTGCGTGAAGGCCTTCTCACACACGGTGCACTTGTGGGGTCGAGTTCCCTGGTGGGTGAGCAGGTGAGTCTGGAGGTGACTTGGCTGTTTGAACAGCTTCCCACAGTGTATACATTCATGGGGCTTGATTCCATTGTGGCCCAGGATGTGTGTGACCAGATTGTATTTCGATGTGTAAGACTTCTCACACATGCGGCACTTCCAGCGTTTCAGACCCTCTCCCACATCCACACAGTACGACTCATCGATCTGCACGTTAATGTCCAGTCTGTCGATCTGCATTCGTCTGGCGAGTCCCTCTGGGTCGGACCACAGCATGGCCTGGCCATTCTCCTCAAATTCTCCCGGCATCGCCATATCAGGGGACTCATAATTTGCTTCATTGGAATCATAATACCGGTTCTCCAGAGTACTTGTTGTTTCTCCACTTGTCTTAAGGTTTAGTGCTTCCTCCTCTTGTTCCTCCACCACTGGTTCTTCTTCCTTCCTCTTTTTCTCGCTAACAGAGCTGTCTTCTTGCTCTTGTTCTATGTGTCCCTCTATCTGCGGCCTGGATTTATCTCTCGCACGCGAGGTACAGTTTCCACACGCCTCTTCCTGTTTCAGAGAGCCTTGCTGGGTCACTGACTCCTCGGACTTGCTGGGACTGTGCCTGCAGTTCATGTGAGCGCAGGAAGGAGGGCTGTCCGACTCGAGTCTTTCTCCTTTAACCTGAGCCTGCGGAGCGGGTTCTTTGTGTGGGAGAGAATCCGAGTCTTCGTCCGTCCTCAGCCTCTGGGTTCTCCCACGGGGCCCAGGTCGTCTTTTCTCGCTGCAATGGGGCTCGGGTTCCCCGGCAGGCTCGGCGAGGTAGTCCCCATTGGCCCCTATCAGTTGGTCGGCGTACTCGTACTCCACAGACTCGGGCGGTGGAGGGGGACACTCTTTGGGCTCCCCTGTGTAAAAGCCGTTTGGAGCGATGGTGGCCCCGAAGATTTCATTCTGGGAGATGAGGCCAAGAACAGCAGCCTGAGCCAGAGATAGCACCACCACGGGCTCCGTTTGCGTGGCCACATCTACGTGGCCCTCGGTCATCTTTGGGTAGGTTCGCTCCAAGCAGCCACGATCTTCCTCCTGAGAAAACACACACATAGCACAAGTCATAAATATAAACGAGCCTGAAGCATATCGGTAACAGTCCTTACACTTGTTTACTTTATTTAATTTTTTTCTCTGTAGCATATTATTTTTATTCTAATGTTGAGATCATCCTTTAGTAATAATTCGAATGTAGTTTTCCAGACCGACGGAAGCTTCGTTTTCTTTCTCTGGAATTCATGAAAGTAATAATGTTTTTTTTAAGACTACGCCTTGTGTCTTCGCTCTGAATCCACTGAACATTAGATTGAAGAGATAACGCAGATCTGTGTTCGCGCCTGGTTTCCTTCCTTGACGGGCTTTGGAATAATAATAATAAAAAGAGCACAACAAGGGATGCAGGTTCAGTCAGGAAGCCGACTTCCGTGGACTGTCCTCGGCACTTCCTGTGGGGTTCTGGGACAGCCGGGCTGACCACAGTCAAACCCATCACTGAGGGGGATCTGGCTCATTCATAAGGAAAATCTTGACTAAGATGAAATTGGCTGGTTGGCTGTCTTATATTCATAACAGGCTGACTTGTATTCCAGACAGAGGCAAAAGACTCGACTGTATAATTCAGAAGTGTTTCAGAAGCTTGAGTTTGCCCTGCTGAGTGTAAAGAAGGAACAGCAAAACTGTAAGGGAAGAGCCAAACTGGCCCTGCGTGGCAATGGAGAAGTGAGGATTGCATGCCACTGATTTCAGGTTATTTCACAGCGTGGATCCGACTGGTTGGGAAAATGTATGTGACAAGTTCTGACCCGATACTTTCTTTTTCAGACAGCACTCGCGCTGCCATGTAAGAAAGAGCTGCTTCCTCTCCTGACACAATACTGAGAGAAAAGAAAAGAGTAGACAAGGAGAAGAGATAAAAAAGGGTGGTGTGTGTGTGTGTGTGGGTGGGGGGGGGATAAAGGTGTGTGTGTGCATGGAAGAGGGGAGCAGACCTGGATGCCCTGATAACCACGTCATTTATAATTACTGCTTTTAAAGTAGTCAGACAGAGACAGACTGCGTGTTTGTGAGAAAGAAAAAGGAAAGAGACTGGGTGTGTGTGTGTTTGAAAAGCATGTGTGTGTGTGAAAGAAAAGAGGGAGGGAGGGAGGTATGAAGGGAAGGAGAAAGAGCTGTGGGCGGGGGAGGAGGGAGACAGAGAGAGAAATGAGATGGAGGGGCTGAAAGATAAAGAAAGAAGGGGAGGGGAGGGAAGGGGAACGAGAGATTGAGTGAGCATGTGAGAGGAGTGAAGAGAAAGGAAAAGGAGAGGGTGTGTGTGTGTTTGTGTCTGTGGAGGGGGGGCAGCTGAGGAGAGACAGAAAGACAGAGTGAGTGAAAGAGAAAGAGGTGAAGGAAGGAGGGGGGAGCTGTGGAGAGAAGAAAAAGCACAGCGAAATGAAAGGCTGACAAAATGAAAGAGAGAAAAAGACAAATAACAAGCAGAGAGAGAGAGAAGGTTGAGTAATTACTTGCGAGAGTGTTCGTACACTTTCACATTTAAAGTTGTGACTGAAAGGCACCTGAGGACAAACAATTAGAGACGGAGACGGAAAATGTGCAGAAACGCAACTGTTCTTATTGGAAAAGACGTTCCCACTGCAGCACGAGGAGTCATCTTCCTCCCTGCTTCACTTCTTCAACTTCAACAGAGAGCAGGAGCAGAGAGGAAAAACACAAAAACTCATACACAAACTGCAAAACAAAGTAACCCCCCTTCACTCTCCCACTCCCCGCTGCTCACCACACAAACAAACAAAACACCTTCCTTTAAGTCCACCCCCCTTCAGAAAAAATAAGGGCTCACCTCATTGTTCCTGGAGTGATGCTTGAGGTGTTTCAGGGATCTCATCCTTCAGGAGAAATGAGTGTAGTCAAATAAACCCACCTCTTATTTATATCTGTGGGAGCGTTGGGGGCGGGGCCACGGCTCATCCTCCTCCTACTGTTGCTGTTATCAGAACTGACTGTGCCTGCCCCCCCCACCCCCCACCACACACACACACACACACACACACACA